CTTAGTTACGTTTTTGAAAGTAGGATTTTATGTTAACCTCTTGTTCACTCAGCGTTGCCAGACTAAGCCAATTTGCCTGATATTTCTCATGCATATTGTTTGCTGAGTGCAGACTTCCGTTGGAAAGGTTTTCAAAGCTAATTGGATAGGCCACTTGGAAAACACTAGAGCTTTTAAAAAGAACAGTCCTCAATATTACAAAAGTTTCCCAATGGTTTTCAGCAACCTTGTCTCAAAATGGCTTTGCCCAGTTACTTTCAGATTTGTTTTTTTTCTATTGGCATCAGTGAATTGGTATTCAATTATTTTTGGAAAGTGTCTGTTTTAGCTTGAAGTCATTTGAGGAATATTAACTAAATCTGGGAGATGGCTGCAGAGTTTGTTTGATACCCAAGTGCATCACATGGAGTTCAGAAAGAATCAGCCAGGATGGGAGACAGGGTTAAGTGTCTTCAGTTGAAGCTTTAAGAAGATATCTTATTAACTTCTGTAGAGGCTGCATCTCCCACATGAACCCCAGCTCTTTCTGTGTTCTGAATTGTAGTGACTCCAGATATAAAACTTAAAGACAGATTTAGAATAGTATATATAGATTATTTATTTCAGAAAAAATTTAGAACACTTCAGCTATTAAAACTTAAGATAATATAATTACATTAATCTGAAAATTCAGAGCTAAGGTTGGACTTGAAAAATATGGAAATGCAGAGTTAATATTTTGCTCTTAATATAGGACCTTCAGGTTTTGAAATAATTGTCCTTCTGTAACAACATTTTCTTCTTTGAGTGCTTGCTCATGTCGATTCCATGATAGGTGTGTGCATGCCCACATGCGTGGTCATCGGAGATTTTTTCCTTAGTGGTATCACTAGGGCCAGCTGTGGCATCCCTTTGAGTGCCGCGCTTATGTGTCAGCATATCAGGCACTGCCAGGCCTATGCCCTCTCAGTTCCTTCTTACCACCCATGATGGTTAGTCGGAGCACCTTTCCTTGCATAGGAAGGGCTAGAGGCTTCCTCTCTTCTGACTTTGAGCCTTAGGGTCTTGTAAATAGTTGTTTATAGTAGTTAGTGTTAAGTAGTTAAGGGCACATCTTCACTACCCGCCGGATCGGCGGGTAGCAATTGATCTATTGTGGACCGTCTTATCGCGTCTAGTGAAGACGCGATAAAATCGATCCCTGATTGCTCTGCCGTCCACTCTGGAAATCCACTGCAGCAAGAGGCGGAAGCAGAGTTGATGGCGGAGCGGCAGCGGTCGACTCGCCGCCGTCCTCACAGCCAGGTAAGTCGACCTAAAATACGCAACTTCAGCTACGCTATTCACGTAGCTGAAGTTGCGTATCTTAGGTCGACCCCCATCCCCCCCGTAGTGTAGACCTAGCCTAAGTGTAGTTAGAAGTTAGAGTCCCAGCGGGGACTTTGTCCTAGGCAGGCCGTGCCTTGGTCTCTAGAGTTTAAGCCCACCGAGGACTGTAACAGGTTTATGCCTGTAAGTGACACCCCCCCACCCCCCCCACCACCTGCCTGACACTTGGTGGAATCACACGGGAAGGACAAGAGTAGTATTTGTAAAAAAAAAAATTCGACCCAGACTGAGAGAGAGTGAGATACTCACTCATTTGCGGGCTCTCCTTATGGAGGCTGCCCTTTGTCGGGCTTCCGAGCTGTCCCGCCAAGACTTGCCTAGTGCCTCGGCCTTGGTGCGCAGCGCATCCCCAGCACCACTCCCCACCACCAGTGCCCAGAAAGAAAACGAAGAAGCACGGCTCCCCGGCACCAGGCAAGAAAGGCCCTGGGGCATTGGGCAAAGGATTCAGTTCGGTCACCCTTTGCCCCTTCAAGGATCCACCATCGACTCCTGGGAGCAGAAGGGGACCCAAACTTCTGATGGCATCGATGCCTTCCCAACCTCCCCCGGCACTGAGAGAGCAGAAGCTTGCGCTGGCACCACGCGTGCTGCAGGAAGTGGCAAAGGCTCCCTATGAGGGCAAGCCAGCTGCTAAGACCCCTTTGGGGGCAGTGCAGCGCCACTGATCCCCCAAGACAAGGCAGCACTCTCCATCTCTGCACCGCAGATCTCTGGTGTCGCAGACCAGATCCTCTGGGGCTCGCCACAGTCCACCCGGCACCGGTCCCCTCGATACTGGCACCAATCCTCACTCCAAATACTGGTCTCCGGTGGCGACGGTCAGCAGGCAGACACAGGCGTCGACGGCTCCACTATGGTCACCGGAAAGGGTTTTCTCTAGCACAGAAGGGCAGTTCAGCCCTTTGCCAAGACCTCATCGGTGTGAATGGGCACCTGAGGCCGCGTCAACGTTTACAGTGCTGCCTTGGCAGCACGGCCAGTGGCCTTATTTGAGTGTGTGGGGCATGCCGGTGATGACGATGCCCCCTTTGCACCGCTCATCTGCCGCCACCTTGGAGCAACAGTTGGCAGCACTGACTGCACAGGGCTCGGTGCATGAGACCCGCTCGGAGGTCAGGGTAGTGGAGACAGCACCCACCCCAAAATCCCCCTTCCCCATGGGGGATGATGCACTTGAGCCTCCCCCGGTGGTACAGTTGTCGTCCTCATCCCCAGACGAGGCGGTCATGGGACCCTTGTGGGCCAGCCTCCCGGATGATTTTAAGGAACACCAGGCCCTGCTTCGACGGGTGGCTGAGAATTTGGGCCTAGAGGTGGAGGAGATGGCCGAGCAGATGGACATCTTGTTCAGTGTCCTCTCAGCCTTTACCCCGGCATGTGTTGCACTACCAGTGCATGATGGGGTCCTGAAAATTGCCAAGGCCCTCTGGCAAACCCCATTGTCCATCTCTCCCAACTTCAAAAGGGCCGAAAAGAGGTACTTTGTCCTGGCCAAAGAGTTTGAGTACCTTTATATCCCCCCACCTTCGGGCTCATTGGTTGTCTCGGCAGCCAACGAAAAGGACAAGCAGGGGCACACTAGTTCAGCTCCGAAAAATAGAGGCCAAAGAACTGGACCTTTTTGGGAGAAAAATTTATTCAACAGCCGGGTGGCGAACCATCAGAGACCCTCTTGGGCAGATACAATTTTAACTTATGGGGCTCCCTCCGTGAGTTCAAGGAGTCTCTCCCTCAGGGTCTGGCCCAGGAATTTGGCAACCTGGTGGAGAGGGCACTGCGGCAGCTAGGTGCTCTCTCCAGATGGCATGGGACATGGTGGACTTGGCAGCTAGGATGGTTGTGGTGGTCATGAGGCGCAACTCCTGGATTCAGACCGACGGCCTGTCCCAAGAGATGAAGACCTCTATCCAGGACCTCCCATTAGATGGGAACGGTCTCTTTTCAGAGCAGACTGATGGGAAACTGCATGGGTTAAAGGACACTTAGGCCACCCTTCGCTCGCTGAGCATGCATACGCCGCAGTCTGCACAGAAGCAGTTCTTCCACCCCCACCTCATTGCCAAGGCCTTGCAAGGAGAAGGGATAAAGACAAGAGCTTTAGTCATCACTGCCCTTCCTCCTCCCACTCACCCGCACAGCCCAGTCTGGCGAAGCATCCTGGGGACCAGAAGCGCTCGTTTTGAAGGTGCGCTCAAGAGCGATGCCCCAGTCAATTCCCCGGATCCACCTCGTTCTTTCCTCGATCATCTTCATCCCTACCATTCGGCCTGGTCGCAGGTCACCTCTGGGTGCTGGACATAGTATCTTGGGGCTATACCCTGCAATTTTCGACCACCTCTCTCTCCAAACCCCCTTTTTCTCCGTCCCTCTTCAGGGACCCTTCTCACAAGCAACTCCTTGTCCAAGAGATCAAGAACCTCCTGCACCTGGGGGCTGTGGAAGAGGTCCCTCGGGACATGAAGGGAAAGGGTTCTATTCCCTCTACTTCCTAATCCCGAAAGCAAACGGGGGCCTCAGACCCATTCTGGACCTGCATCGCCTCAACAAATGTCTCAAAAAGTTGAAGTTTTGCATGGTCTCCCTGGCCTCCAACACCCCCTCCCTGGATCTGGGAGACTGGTACGCCACCCTTGACTGGAAGATGCATATTTCCATCTTCCAAGGTCACAGATATTTCCTCCCATTTCATAGTGGGTGCATGCCATTTTCAATTTACGGCGCTGCCCTTTGGCCTCTCATCAGCCCCCAAGGGTGTTCACAAAATGTATGATGCCAGTGGCTGCTTACCTGGCTATTACCAGTGTCTGCTCAGAGGATTTCGTCCTGGATCACAGCCTGCATCTGCTACTGCTGGTGAGGGTGTCTCTGCTGGCGATCATGACAGCACACTTGAGTAGGGTAAAAGCATTATCACCAGCCTTCCTGGCACAGGTACCAATCCAGGAGATCTGATCGTCTGTCCACATGTTCCTGCCTGATTATGCGCTTATCCAACAAGCTTGAGACGACACTGGCTTTGGCAGAGCAGTGCTGCAAGCTGCAAGACCATGAACTCTGAGCCCCCTCTACTGATGATGCTTATGAGTCACCTAGAATGGAATGGACATGAGCAAGCACTCGAAGGAGTTACCTGCCTTTTGTAACTGTTGTTCTTCGAGATGTGTTGCTCATGTCTATTCCATTACCTGCACTCCTACCTCTCTGTTGCTGGCAAGAAGGAACTGAGTGAGAGGGTATAGGGCCAGCGGCACCTGATATACTGCTGCATGAGCGTGGCACTCAAGGGGGCGCCACAACTGGCCTTAGGGATTCTGCTAAGGCAAAAATCTCCGACCGCGCACATGCGTGCGCGCACACCTAGAATGGAATGGACATAAGCAACACATCTCAAAGAACAACAGTTACGAAAGGTAGGTAACCGTTTTTTAATTAGGCTTTATGAAGTAATAGATTTTTGTTTACAAACTTAATTCCTCCTCTGCCCCCTAGGATAAACCTATATGTATTTGGGTTTGACTGCAAATCTGCTTTGCTGCATCAATCAGTTTTGCTGCAGAATCAGTTTATACAAAGTGTTTGATTTTTAAAGGTGTACTTTTTTTAAAAGTTCTGCATGTTGTATATTCTAGGTAATCACATTCTTCCTGATGAAGATTTGGCTTCCTTTCATTGGAGTTTACTTGGTCCAGAACATCCACTAGCCTCACTTAAGGTACAAACCTAATCTGATTTTTAGCAGTTAAACATTATAGTAACAAACCACAGCAGTATGTGCTTCATAGGCAGCTGATTCACAACTTGGGTGCTTTTTGAGGTACAATAATGAAGACTAGGCACCTTCAACTCCTCAGAAATACACTAATAGCTTTCTAATGACAATTGGGTGCAAGGTATGGTACTTCAGTCTGCACACCTTTTAATGACCTACTTCCACTGTCATTTACCTCAATGCTAAAATTGGCCCCTTATCTGTAATAAAATATATTTAAAATTTTGTATGTACTTTGGACATCTAATCCCTCTGATTTCCCATGAGTTTGGCTGTCCTTTCTGTAGCAATTCATGGCTCAGTGACCGGTTTAATTCTTACTTTCTGTTAAATACTAACTTAAGAATCTTTTTCTGCTGAGAGTTAAAAGTAGTAATAAGCTAAAAACTGCTGCTGATAGGGCAGCTGGGTTCACTGGGAGATGGAATGATGGCAGTAGTTCAGAACTGTCACTCTTTCCTCCTCTTTACTCCAATTTACTTAACTTTTCCCCCTGTCCTGGACTTTACAGCTTAAGCACTCAACTTTCTGACCTGCATTTTAAGTTAGAAATTGCCTGGCTATTTTTGTGTCAAGTATAGCCTGAAAAAAATTCAGGCAACTTTTATTGAAAAGCAATTAATAAAAATCACACAAAAAAAGTTGCTTTATTGTCTCTTGAAAACTGGGGCTGGGTGACCAAAGTAATACTTTGGCATGCCACTGCAAGAAAGGTAGCAGTGGCATTTGTAATGGAAACAGTCATTTTCTCTGCCATCCCAGCTAAATGTGGAAGTGGTGGAGCACTTTTCAAGCTAAAGCTTAATTTAGAAATTTGAATTTGGAGACAGATTTAAGGCTCCCAATTCAGTTATTAAGCTGAAAAATTAAGGGAGGAAGAGAGGGACTCCTGTCTGTTCAGAATAATCTTTTAGTCCCCTGGTTCTTAAACCATTGTTGGGAAACCTTCAGAGACCCACACGGCTCTTCTCCATCTCTTTAGCTAGATTGTTGGGGAGAGTTATTGATCCATGAAAGGATCATTCTGTGATGAAGTCCGCGGAATGGAAAAAAGTGGAATCAGTAGTTAGTTTAGTGGAAGAGAAATCCTCAGAGTTGTATAAATCCATCTTTGTTTTGTTATTTAAAGAGGCATAGGGATTTTCCTTTTTGTTTGAGAGCCCAGATATCCACCAGTGGGAGCTGATTTACAGGTGTAACATTACTCAAAGTCAGAATAGCCAATTCAGAATATGGCTTTGAACAATATGACCACAGTCATGTTCCATAAGATACTTGCCAAATATATGCTAAATTTTACTTGGTTATTATGAAAACAAAATCATTTTAATTAAGATGTATTCTGCCTTGTTGGTTTTTAAATTCACTTTATTCTTTATTTAAAAGACTCCAGTCAGATACTTCCAAAAAAGTTGTTGGTTTTTTTACTCTTCAGTTTCTCTCAACTGCTTTTTTGCTTTTCCATTTGACAGATATTGCCTTCCTGAGTTTCCAAGAGAACTAACTTAACATGGCTTAACATCTTTAGTTCCATTTGACATAGTAGCATCAGTGATGTCATTGCAACTCTGGGAGTAGTGGGTTTTTGGTTAACTGCAGGTGTGGCAAAAACAAAACACAACATTTATTTTTTTCCAGACACTACAAAAATAAACCAACCCAACCCTTCCAGACACATTTACAAGCCATAGACTTAATAAGATGAATGGGGAGAGCGGCTAGGCACTGTCTAGGTCTTGGAGCAATGACCTTGGTGAAAAGCCTGGTCTCTTGTGCAGATGCTGGAAGTGGGAAGGTGCTGTGATTCCAAACCGGGTCACTGTACCTGGATTCAGCTTGGGAGCTCGGGGTGGTGTGGCTTTTTTTTTTTTTTTTTGCATCAGTTTATAGTCACTAGGAATTTGATTATTTGGCACCCTCTGTAGCTGCAAGAAGCAGGGACCTCTCATTCCCTCTCATGAAAATCTGGGATTTAGAAAATTTCCTGTCATTTTGACAGTGTGATTTTTTTTTTTTTTTTGGGATATATGTATATTTTTAGAGGTGCTGGTTACCTTTACTTCCTTTTGACTTAAGTTGGAGTGCCTCAGCACTTCAGAAAACTAGGACCTGGTTTTTTATCAAGAAAAACAGAGACTTGATAAATTAGGGTCCCTGGAGTTGTTTTCTTTGTGACATTCTCTGCCCTTTTTATTATGCAGTAGCAAAGTAATAGTGCTATAAAGAATGAAGCTTTACTTATCAGCCTGCTCAGAAGCATGGAATGGAGGCAAAACAAGCACCAATGTTGTTGGATAACATTTTATAATTGTACTTTTCTCCAGTGTGCCCAAGAATTAGCAGGGTGAGGTGGGGAAAAGCAAAAGTAGAATAACCTTTTCGCCCTTTTTCAAATGGTTAACTGGCCAAACCAACTCAATTAGAAGCGTCTTGAGCAATAATTTGTGGAGGTGAGGGAGAAGAATCAAAACTCCAAGCAGTAAAATTCTCAGAAAAGAGAGCCCCCAATGTCTCTTGGCTCTGTTGCTAGCTGTTCACTTCTAGAAGATTTGAACCTTGCTGTTCTGACTTTGCCCTCATTCAGTCAGCTAGACAAGTGGGCAAAAAGCCTTGCCCTGCAGAGGGCCACAGCAAGAACCACCTTCCCTTTGGAAAAGGTGTGGAGTGTTGTGGTTAGCTTAAAGGGAAGAGATCTGAACTGCTATTGCTGCCACAAAGGAACTGTTTAGACCGTAAGCCCTTCGGGGCAAGGGCTTTGGCTGTTTGTGTTTGTAAAGTGCCTGGCACACTTTCAGTGCTACAGATAAATAATCATGTTTGGAATGAATGAGATTAAACATCCTGCTAATCAATAGAGAGTAATGACTTCCTGAATGGCACCTGGAGCAGGAAACTGATTTTAGGCTGAGAAGGGGCAGGAACCACTAGACACAGTGAGAGAGAGTTCAGCCACAGTGCCTGCCTAAGAAGGCTGGAATCCTACTACTACATTTTTTTTAATTCAAGTAATCTATCATATACTGGGTACAGACTTCTTTTTGAACAGACCTTTCAGGGGAAATAGAGAAGAAAAGAGCTCTTATCTATGCAAAGACTACTGAGTACCTGAGACACATTTGTAGCACCCGGTGATCAGTCATAATAAGGGCCCTTTTTGTGCAAAGACCTGGAATGATCACCTGATTAGAGGCTGGAGCATATAGATTCACAGCTCTTCATGTAGAGTTGGGGCTAGGGGAATTGGCACCTTTTCCTCCACTGGACTGATCTTTTTGCCCTGGAATGAGCTGGACTGGGCAATCCAGAAGAATTTGGCACAAGTGAATGACCGTTTCCTTGTAGGTCCGTGTCATAACTATAAAGGGAAGGGTAACAGCTCTCCTGTGTACAATACTATAAAATCCCTCCTGGCCAGAGACTCCAAAATCCTTTTACCTGTAAAGGGTTAAGAAGCTCAGGTAACCTGGTTGACACCTGACCCAAAGTACCAATAAGGGGACAAGATACTTTCAAATCTTGGTGGGGGGAAGGCTTTTGTTTGTGCTCTTTGTTTTGGGGGGAGTTCGCTCTTGGGACTAAGAGGGACCAGACATCAATCCATGCTCTCCAAATCTTTCTGAACAAGTCTCTCATATTTCAAACTTGTAAGTACAGCCAGGCAAGGCGTGATAGGTTTATCTTTGTTTTCTCAACTTGTAAATCTACTTTTTGCTAGGGTGTTTACCTCTGTTTGCTGTAACTTTGAACCTAAAGCTAGAGGGGGTTCCTCTGGGCTCTTTAAGTTTGATTACCCTGTAAAGTTATTTTTCATCCTGATTTTACAGAGATGATTTTGACTTTTTTCTTTAATTAACAGCCTTTTTTAATAACCTGATTGATTTTTCCTTGTTTTTAGATCCAAGGGGATTGGATCTGGATCCACCAGGAGTTGGTGGGAGAAAGGAGGGGCAATGGTTAATTTCTCCTTGTTTTAAGATCCAAGGGGTTGGATCTGTGTTCACCAGGGAGTTGGTGGAAGAGTCTCTCAGGGCTACCCAGGGAAGGGAGTTAGCCCATTGGGAGTGGTGGCAGCGGACCAGATCTAAGCTGGTAGTTAAGCTTAGAAGTTTTCATGCAGGCCCCCACATATGTACCCTAAAGTTCAGAGTGGGAAAGCAGCCTTGACAGTCCGTAAGGAATGTAGTCCTAGAACCTATCCCCATTGTTACTTTGCTTCTGAAGGGATTGGCCCCAGGGGGAGGATCTGCCAAAGCTACACTAGATCTGCCATCCTAATCGGAGGTAAATTGTCCTCCAGCTAAGGCAATTCTAGAGATCAGCTCACCAGGCTCTGTGCAACCACAGGGCTCGGTAGGCAGAGAGACTGATTACAAAGGTTATATCCTAACCTAAAAGAAATCTAAATGAAAAGTATTCCCTGATGGAATCTACCTTAATAGAGCCATAGTCATTTAGGCTGAATAAACAGCTGAGCATAATCCCTGCTTTACAGTCCATTTGAGTCTTTATGGGTCATTGGAAATCTATTTTGAGAGTGGTCTCATCTACCTGGAGATGTTGGACTCTCCTTTTGGAATAACAACGATTTAAAAAAAAGAGTCCTACACCAGGGCATTGAGCTGCTAAGGCCCCTGTGGTTTAGCATGTCCAGGGTGTTTAGCCATGTCCTTAACAGCTCCTTTTGGTTCTCCAAAATCTTCATCTTTCAGATTAAGGGTCCAGGTCAGCTGTTCAATTAGAGTAAAAAGAACCTCTCTTAAACAGCCTGATCTCCATGGAATCCTAACTCCTCCTACTTGCGCTGATGTATTCCATATCATCCTGTAAATTGGTCATATCCTCTTCAGAAAGCTGAACCCATGGGTGTTACTCACTTCCAGCCTCCAAGATGGTAGATTCAGTTTCAGACAGGTTCCAGCGAGCTAGAATTAAGGCCTCTCAGA